ACACCGTGCAATACGGGTCAGGGGTTGCATACATACGCGTGTCCGGGCGGACACCGTATACACCCGAACCCACACCCGACTCCGTCTTGGACCCGTCCGCATACCACACGCTCACACCCAACTCAAATACCGGGCCACCCATCGATCCCATGTCCATCGATCGGGAAACAGAACCCCGATCTCGCCAGAGATAGTCGGTAATTCACTAGCCGAGCTTCCTTCAATACATGGGGTGCAGTGGCGGCAACCCGATCATCATCTCCAATGCAGCGGTGGGAGCCGTCCGCACTGCCTCCATCACTCCCAGGCAGGCCAGCCTCTGTAGCTTTTCCAGCTTGGCCCGCACACTCGCTTGCTGAGACCTACGGCACCATACAATCGACGCGTAGGTGACGATGGGCCTAGTAAGGGCCGTATATAGCCACAGTGATATCCTGACAAGGCCGCCGTAGCCCTCTCGATAACTCTATCTATATGGGTATTCCAGGAGAGACGATCAGCCAAGATTACCCCCAGTGCTTCACCTCCCTAAAGTAACTAATACGTTCACGAAACAGAACTGAGCTCGTTAATCTATTCCTGCTTCTGCGTCTGATGAAGGCGACCAAAAACTCTTGCTTAGATTTATATTTAAGCCAACGCCTTCGCACCACCTTTCCACAATACGTAAATTTTGCTGTAGAAGATCAGAAATAGTACTCTCAAATTTTCCCCGCACGACGAAGGCCACATCGTCGACGTATCCCGGAGCCCCCGAGAGCACCGATTATATCATCCACTAAAATAGACCACAGGAGGGGCGAAAGAAACCCGCCCTACGGACATCCTTTTACAGCGGAGGTGAAGAGTGTATCGCCAGCTATGGTGGACTTAATAATCCTATCCTGTAGCATCCGAATAATAAATTGCTTACTGAACAGTTAGATAGAACAACTACACTATAAGATAATTCTAAGAAATTTCCAGATGTACAATTTTCAGAATATAATAAAATTACAAACTAATGATTCTATATATATTGAGGAAGTCGCAAGATGACAATTCAATTAGATTTTCCATCAAAATTTTCTAACTAACTGTCATATAGTTATAACAAAAAAAAATATTTATGCTGAAATTAAAAAGCTTTCATTTGTGAATCATAAATCAATTGTTAAAGATTTAAAAATGTTTTTCATGTTTTTTATTTGATTATAGTTGTCATAATCTACTTGTAACTGAGAATTAAACCATAAGTTCACGATTTAATATATTTTTTTTTCTACATTTTCCAATTTATAATTAAATACTATAGTGTAAATAGTTTAATAATATTTTTTGTAAAATATCTAGATAGCAATAAATTTATTGTTCTGATAAAATATTTAATTTAAACACGACGAATTATTATTCAACAATAAATAATTTCTCACAATATTTCATTCGGTGAGTATTATAAATTTGTGATTTAATTTATCAGAGTAGTGCTAATGCAATATTCAACTCAATTTACTATTTCAGAATAGTTTTTTAATTTATACAATAATTTTACAAAATATATGAATGTCTAAAATTTATACAGTGCGTCATAATGCCAGAATTAATTTTTCTGCAACAATTCATTTGACATTATCCATGGCATTTATTTTGCAAACATAATTGCCAAAATACACAAATAATGCACTTACAAGCAATGCTTATAAAACAGTTTTGTTGCTTTGCAAAAATAATGAGTTGCTCACAATTTGCATTCTTAATGAATTTGAAACTTTTATTAGACATCATCCATGTTTTGTCGAATAAAATGTTTTTGAAGCACCTATTTTAGTACAATAACTATTTTTTCTCCTCAACAAATCAAATATGTCTAAAAAAATCTTAAAAAAATTACAAGAAATAAGAATTGCTATAGCAGTATCATTAAACAAATGCAAGAAGTTCAAAAAATTCCATAAATTTCAAATTTTAGAGATTTAATGAGAAAATGTCGGGAAGATGTATTCTTTAACAATTCAATAAGGTAATGCAAATCAAATCGATTTATTTGCACTATAAAATTTGTTTGCATCTACAAAACGTAAACTCTGAAATTTGGATCATAATACGAGTATTATGACATTATTAAAAATTTTTGGTTTGCAACTTGGATTATGTGACATTGTTAATTTTATGTTTTATTTTTATTTGCAAATTGGATGTCACGAAACAAAATTAATTTAATTATTAATTGACATTTCGAAAAATTTAATCTTTTTAAATTCCGACAAAGTTTTACTGCAGTATATATACTTAAATTTCGGTCGTGTTTTGTATTGAATGTTTAAGCTTGAACTTGATGGCATTTCAAATAATTTTTAAGAATTTTTCAAATTTTGCATACAAATTGCCTCAAAGTTGACATAACCAATACAATTTTATCAACATATGTCAAATATTTAAATGAATTTTAACTCTTATGTAATAATTCTATAATTTAAAAATGGTTTTTAATAATAGTGATGAAGATATTTTTGTTTTCTGAAGTGAATAGAAATTTGAATCACAAAAAAAAAAAACAGGAGGATTAGTAAAACTAATTTCTAGAAAAAAAAATTAAAATCCATTTAAATATTTTATAAATATCACGGTTAATTAAAAACAAAAAAAAATAACAATTCCTGCCTTTTTTTTTTGGATTTTCAGAGTATTTTTAATTAGAAATTCATGATTTACTGTAAAAGCATTACTATAAATTAAGATTTTTAAAAAATTATTACTTACTTACATATTAATCAAAATTTTTTAATTAAAAAAAAATTATTATTTGTCTTGCCTTCAATAAATTGTTGCAAATTTAAATACGGTAATTTTAATTTAAAAATTCTACACTATACACTCAAAAAAAAAATAGTACAACAACTGCCATAGTTTTGAATATTCCTAGTGATAAAAATTGGTAGAAATTTGGATAGTGCTGAAAAAAATTTTTTGTCATGTTTTATAGCACTGCAAGTCGTTAACGTCAGAAATATTGATAATTTTATAATGTTTTGAACAGGCAGTACTTTCTCGTTATTGATCACATAAAATTCCATGAGTCCTAAATTCAAATAGGCTTCAACAAATTATGAGTATGGCTGCGGTTGCTATAGTATAGGAAATATTTTCTGGTCCATATCTGCCTATAAAAATCTACATACTGCAATCAATACCATACATTTATAATCATGGTTCTTCTTGAATAATTTTATTATTTAAAAACAAATGTCAATCAGAAAATGAGATTTTAATTTGTTCAGTTTTCATTCATTCTCTTTTCATTATATTCTAATACAAAGTATAATATAAAAATTTAAAATTCATAACTGTGAAACGAATTTGTCATTAGCACACGTACTCACTTAAATTTTATTCTTTCATATATAATTTAATTAAATTTTTATATTATTTTTTTTTTAAAGAATTCTGGTATAAGCATAAGTTTTTTATTTAGAAATATTTTTATGGATCAGTTGTCTCAAAAAAGCTGTCAAAACAAATCATAATATTAAGGTAAGCAATGAAACTTCGAATTAAATTTGGAAGGTTCACATGGAGTTTCATGGTAGATAACTCAACTATTAACACTATAACAGTTTCAGAATTAATAATGTAACTAAAGAAATTGAAACGAAAATTTAAAATGCTTCTTAAATGGTGTCAATATCCTCAGAATATGTGAATCTGCTGAATAATTATACTGTATATATATATTACTCTTCAGTTTAAACAAAATAACCAAAACAGTGACCAGGAAACATTTATAGACTGATAACCACTGTAAAAATTTTAACAAAAATTTGATGGGTAATTCACCTGTGCATTACCATATTTTGTATAGTTTTTGCATTTGTTCAACACTCTCACGATGTAGTAAAAACAGTGCCATTTATAGAGGAGCAAAATATTCAAAATGAGATTTAAAAATTATAAATGAAGACAAAAATATTCAAAACTCTATTAAAATTTCATATATACTATGAAATATACTAAATAAATTTTGAAATATTTTTGTTGGTGTTTAAAAGAAATCAGACCTTAGCAAAGAGCAAGACAATAATTTAAACAATATGTAAGCATTTAATATTCGAATCTTCATTTCCAAAAAATTATTCACATCCAATTTATTTGAATTTGCAATATTTTATAAATATTATGAGAATTTATTTTAGATCCAAAATTCAAATTCAATATTCGGCGTTGAATGCCCCCGAATGAATCCTTACTAAAATATAAGGCTAACATGAATTCCGATTCCCATTAATCATATGGCTACTATAAGAGCTATAAGAGTGAGTCTTCAATTTATTCAACTAATTATTTAATTAATCAAATATAGGATCCAACAAATCACTAATCGTAATTTCATTAATATAAAAAAATTTCAAATAACCTATTACAACAAATATTTTTGATGTGAATATTCTCTCATTCCATATTATACATTGCATATCTAATAATAGCACAGATTACAATATTATTATTAAGCAAGCATACTAATATTCAAAATTCTTAAACTAACAGGATAAAATACTGTTTACTAAAAATATTATTCCAACTAATTTAAAGTAGCTTATGAAAAATCACGTTGACATGCACGCCATCCTCAATATGTGGCTCTCCTAGATGTATGCAACAATTTATTATGATTGAATGAAATCGAATGAGTAAGAAAGAATGTTATGTGGGTGTACTATTGCTTCAGAAATTCCAAAATATGAAGGAATAAAATCTTTACCATGACGTTATAATTGAAAAACTCTTATATTCAAATCCTTTATTACCCAAAAAAATAAATAAAAAACCCAAAAACTTTTTATATTTTCAATTGCAAAAAACGAAAAATAATATTTGATTTCCAATCTCTTATATCCCTTTCAATGAAATTATCTTATACGTAAGTGTGTGTGTAGGTGAATGTTCCTATATAATGTGACTAACCAAATTATCCTGAAACAATAACAGAGAGAATTTTAATAAAAAATAATAAAACAAAAGAAAAATTAATAAATTTTCAATTAAACTGTTATACTTGAAAAAATCTCTTTTTTTCGATTTTCATTTTCTTAAAATTTACATACAAACATATCGATATAATAAAAATTTATAATACAAAAAAAATTTAAAAAAATATTAAAAAAAAAAAAATAAATCTCATTATTAACAATTTTTTTTTTTGTTTGCAATATACAAAAACTCTATGCTTGAGCCCTTTTCACTTTCACAACTAAACTTATATATAATAAGAAATGAAAGAATAATATAAAAGATATTAAGGCTATTATATCATTTAAATAAACATCTTCATCCATATCCATTTCTTCAAGGAATTTTTTAGCTGTTCTAAAATAACAGAATGGTATTGAACAATTCAAATCTGTACGATTATTTCCATAAATTGCTTGATTAAATCCTTCGAAACTATACCGGAAATATGAAATGTGTGTTAAAGGCTGTAAATATACAGACAATTCATGGCTTCTAATAAAAAATCCAGAGAATATTAACATTGGTATACATGTTGCTGGTACTATAAAAACTGCCAACTGCAAAACAAAAAAAAAAAACAAAATCAAATATACAAGGGCATTATAATTCAAATGGGGAAAAAAAAAAAATAAAATTATTTTTTATTTGTATTTTTAATTTTTGAAAAGCTACCATTTTATTACAAATTTGCTTTAAGTACGAACAAAGAAGAATAAATATCGTAAATTAAGTGTTTTGCTTATAGAAACCCATAACATTTATAAATCAAAGAGTGTAACAGCAGACCACATGTTTACTTATATATGATTTTTGAATTAATTCACTTAGATAAAAGTGAATTAATTCAAAAATCAAGATTTTTAAAGTTCCAAAATTATTAGAAAACCCTAAATATGTATTTGGTAAAAATATGTAGCTGATTAGGGCATGTGAAAGAGAAGACTTAAAATCATAAATTCACTCGAAATGCGTTTTCTTGAGTTAAGGCATTTGTCACTGCAGAGTAATAATTGTAGCATTATAAACACGTGTTCTGCATTATAATTTTTTATTTACTAAATAAATATAACCTATACTGAAATTTAATTTCTATTATACAATTTTGGACAAAACTTAACGCGAAATGGACCTGTGCTATGATGAGAAGCTAACTATGAGAGAAGAAAGTTAAAAATAATTTTTTAAATATATGGTGTCAATATATGGTGTGTCCGAATCCAATTTGGTTTAATTTTCTTTAGCCATTAATACTTAGCAAATTGAACAATATCATCGGTAACTTTGTCCAAGTTCCAATCAGAAAAAATCAAGTTCTAATTAAATAGTAAGCGCAACACCGAAAAGCTTAATATATAAGCTTAAGATACCATCCAAAACCACAAAATTTTCATAAAAATTCTTAATGTTCCTCTTAAAATAATAACAATTGGTAACTCTTAATTTCTTGCTCCTTATAGTGTTGTCTCATCTTAGTTTTTTTTTTTTGTTGCTCTTCTCTTATATAGTTATTATTATTGTTGTTGTTTTTCATTTTTGTATTTTTCTTTCAACGTTTTTCTGTATAGGTTATGCAGGAAACTTGGAACAATTGAAAATAATTTCATTTTAAGTATTTCAATTCAATTAAAACGGAAAAGCATTGACATTGGATGTAATTTATGAAGTTGAATGAAAAAAAAATTTTTTTTTTTATTATTATTGTTATATTTACTTTTTATTTTCTGATATTTATAAGAGAACAGGAAAATTCTTTATCGGGAAAAGTTTTATTTTTTTTGTTGTTTTTTTGTTTTCATTGTATTTTTGGGATATTGTTTGTTATTGTTGTTTTAAAAGGCAACAATAATTGTTGCAATAAATCATAATAATACTAGTATATAAGAGTAAAGCGACAAAACTACAATTCGAATTATATTATAATATGTCGTGGCAGTATAGATTAAATTGAGAATAAGAGAGAGAATATAAAATTAAGAAAAGTTTTAATATTTGAAATTATTCTGAAGTTTCTTAATTTTTTTTTAATATTATCTACCTCCGCCCCTTAAGTTTCTTACATTTCTACTATAGTTGATTAAATGGGTTACTCTATAAAAACAAGCAGACAATGAAGAATGTTAAAGAAAAAAATGAAGATGAGAAGGATAAACTTCAGATTAAGATAATAATGAATAAGGATTTCTATTTTGTTGAATAAATCAAATTTTGACGAATTAAAAACTATATAAAAATAATAATAAAAAGAATAATAAGTTGATCTTTAGTTGAAAATTTTTTTAATAGTTTTCCATTTTTAATTTGCAATCGTTAATGGATCGGAATATAATTTGTCTATGTTAAAATAGGATTTTATAATTCTTTCAATTTTTTTTTTAATTTTATTTATAGAAAATGATTAATAGAATTAATTAATGAAATGGAAATTGGAATGAAAAACTTTATGCAATAGATGAAGTCAAATTGGAAATTGAATTTAAGTATTTAAGGAAGGTGTGATATTAAAATTTCCTCATTTTAATATTTTGCCCCAAATATATACTATGGTGATCTTTGAAGCACACTTAGAAAGGATCTTTAAGGCAGAATTCCAGTACGGAGGAGAATTATTATTTTTAATTCTATTCAAAATTTGTAAAGGAAAATATTTTCCAGTGATAAAAAATTACGTGATAATTGAAAAAAAATTTATTAATTTTGAATTCTGCCCCCTAATGTAGGCAATATTTCTTAATAATCAAAACAAATTTGCAGCTTGTATTTTATAATTATGAAAACTATAATGCTCTAGATAAGTCAATTTTAAATTAATTTTAAACTATTTTGAATGTAATTATTTATTTAAACAAATAAAATTTAATTTTTTAATTTGAAATGGCCGAAATTTACATTCATACATATAAAAATAATAATTAAATAGCTAAAAAAATTTTATATATAATCTAACCTTTAAACAAAAAGATGATCCAGCAACTAAACCAATTGATTGTCCTAACATTACTGTTAAAAAGCTAATTAACCAAGATTGAGCAAATCTTTCGCTTTCCATTGGCTATATATACATTAAATAAAAGTAGATTTTAAATCAAGGTTTTAAGTTGAATAATAAAGACTTTTACATACCTGACCAGTAAGATAGTAAGCAAATGAAATGAATGCTGTTGGACCTTAAGAAAAAAGAGAATTTATTAAATTACATACACCATTCATGAAAATTTTAAGCATAATAAAAATATATGTACATAAAATGAAAATATACATATATATATATATATATGTACAAATATAGATATATACTTACAAATCAATTGTAATGGTATATCAGAAATTAATTTTGAAATAAAATATGACTCTTTTGAATACCATCCATTTAAATGTTCTCTTAAAAATGCTGATGTTTCTAATGGACCTACAAAAATTAACAATACAATATAATCACATTTATATTTAAAAATTTTTTATAAATCACATACATACTCGTATATTTAATTTTAAAACTTACATGATAAAATGCCTGGCATTGTATTTGAAAAAAATAAAAACATTACAAAGAAAAATAAACATGAAGCATTACTTAAAACTTTTGATGCCTCACTACCAATATCATAAAATACAACACCAATTAAAATTCCAACAAAAATATGACATAAAATTCTAAGTTGAACACACATCTATAAATTAGAAAAAAAAAAATCAAAATTTTTGTAAAATATTCGATAAATTTTTAATAATTTTAAAAAATAAAAAAGAATTTTATGGGCACACGAACTAAAGAAATCGAATGTAATCGGCAGGCACCTAACTGATGCCATTGCTAAAGTGTTGTGTTAAATTATGAAAATTTCGTTTAAATATTTATTTCAAATTCCTTGAAAGGTTGTAGGTAGACTCTAGTTAATGCATCTAGAAAAATGAAAATTTGGCTATTAGTCGTTGCTAATTTTCAGGGATCCGATTTTCTTGCTAACAACCAAAAATCAAATAATAAATTTCAAGAAATTTCGAGAAAATATAAGATATGATCAAATTTATGAAATCAACGCTTAGTTCTCTTTCCGAGCCCTGTATTCCTGAAAAAATTGTCCATGGTTCATTGTTTTAAAAACATAGATTTTAAATTTAAAATTTCAAGTATAAATTTGTTAATTCGTGAATTCCGGCGGTCCATAGAAAAAGTCAATGACAACTAAAACATCGGTTCAGCTGAACTTGAGATACTAATCTGCACAAACAAACTGGCAAACAGGTCGTCTCAATGTCTGACAACAGACATATCTCTAAAACTAGCTTATTTACGCTTCCGTAGCATGGAGGAATACATTTCCGTCGAAAGCTCGACAAGTAAAATTTGGTACCATTACATGATTTCTCTTATTGTACGCGATGCAATGACAAAAGAAAATTCTCTATAACTGAAAATTTAAAAAATCACTCAAAATTTTATTTTTAATCTTTATACTTACAAAATCTCTCGTTTGAGAGCGCAATGATCTACGTACTAAATAATTAACTTGCTGAAAAAAATTCTTTGAAAATTTTTTATGGTTTGTGTTCTCGCTAATAACATTAAAACAAATTAAATGATGATTTGAATTTTGATATGTTGAATTTGATAACATTGGCGCTAAAATGGTGTAGTAAAAAATATAAATACAAAATTTAAATTAAATTAATTTAAACATGTGTATGTATATACGATTTGTGTATTAGGAATAAATTTATAAATGTAAATAAAATTTAATATTAAAATTTTTTAAGAAAAAAAAAATATTTTGTAAATTTTTGAATGAAATATGTGGAATCTCGTCTTCCTTCCTCTCATATTAATATTTTTATTTTTGAAATTATTCAAAATCTTAATAAAATAATTTTTCTAAAAAAATTTTTTAAATTCTTTTGTGATTTAAATTTTTCAACTAACTGATATTTTTTTAATGTAGTAGCTAACTAGCATAATGAAAATTCAATAACAATGACAATTCAAAAATGTATAAAATATGAAACATGAATTAAATTATTATTTATTTTAAACTATAATCTCATCTATCTCCTCTATCTTAACGTTTAATTTTATTTAATCATTTTAGAGAAAAATAAACCAGTTCTTACATTTTATGAGTGTGAATCCTCGAAAAAATTAAATAAGCCGACAAAAACAAAACTTGTTTTAATTTATAAAATTTCTAAAACGGACTCATTAATATTTAATTTCGAAATTGAATTTTTATTGAATAAATCAAGTGAATTCTCTTCTATGAAGTAATTCTTAGTATAATACGACTAACAATAAGAAATTATTTTAAGTTTGCCTAACAAACTTTAAATAAACATACGGTGTCCAATCTTATTACAATATATATAAAATATAGAACTTACTATTTTCACAACTATTGTTGTAATCAGCAATTTCTTCTTTACAAGATACAAAATTTGTATTTTTCAGTCCTTCATCAATAATATCCGAAACTTTATTTTGTCCATATTGACCGCTAGCTATTTCTAAAACTAATATTTAAAAAAAAAAAATAATAATGAACAATTTATCATAAGTATTACATTAAAATCATACCGAAATCAGCTGGATTATAAAATTCTGGACAAACTAGACACCATTTTTTAAAATAATCTACCATACCGCTAACACTACCATTATATAATTTATGGCCATCTGCTATCACTAATGTATCATTAAATAATTTCATTAAATGTGAACTTGGTTGATGAACAACACAAACTATAATTCTTCCACCTAACGCTAATTTTCTTAAATAAGCTAGAATTTGTGTTGAAGCTACTATATCTAAACCACTAAAAAGAAGAAGCCAAAGGAATTTAATAATTTATGCACGTACATACATCGAAAATATTTGAATTTAATAATCAAACCTTGTTGGTTCATCAAAGAACATAACTGGAGGATTTGTTATAAGTTCTACAGCAATTGATAAACGTTTCTGTTCACCACCAGATAATTTTGAAACAAGACAATTACTACATTTATCCAAATTTAAAAGTTTAATAATAACATTTATCTATAAAGAAAAGAAAATCAAAAAATTAAATTAAAAATCTTGCAACCACATGCAAAGTAGATGAGGGTTTCATTGCTTCTCTTTATTTTTACTCACCACATTGACTTTGTCTTTCATAAATTTGCCAGTTAACTTCATGTTAGCTGCAAAATTAATAGTCTCTTTAGTATTCAAATTTTCAAACATACCAAAATCTTGTGTTATATACGATACTATTTTTCTGTACATATGTAATTTACATTCTTTATCATTATAATAAATTTTGCCGGAGAAATTTTGTCTAAATAAAAAAAATTAATTTAAATTCCGCAAATATTTTATGAAATTTAAAAAAATGAAAATCTTACTTAAAACCAGATAAAACATTTAATAATGAAGTTTTTCCAGCTCCAGATGGCCCTAACATTAATGATAATCGGCCGGATTTGAATTCACCACTAATATCTTTTAGTATTGTTTTTGGTTTACAGCCTGTTAATTAAAAATTTTTTAATTGTTATAACATATATGTATAGAATTGCAATTTGAACTTTTATGCTCAGGTCAAATCTTATGTTACGAATAAACTAAGAATCTAATTTAAATAAATTGACGGTTAAATAGAATATTTTTTTTGCGCTTTGCTTTATTCGATCCATTGGTTAAAGGTTGCCTGGTTATGGCATATTGTCTATGAACTATTGTACTGATCGATATGCAATAAACTCACTTGCATTTTATGGGAAATATTATAGAAATTTTTGAAATTTGTTAAAATCTTTGTAGGCCAAGCTTATTGAGTTGCCGCCTTAATCTGCCGTACCTCAAAATTTTCATATAATTTTTGCTCTACACTATAAACTTCTTAAATCGTTTCTGTCACCCCGGAAGACTTATCCAGTGCTCCGACCGCCTCCTCTTAATTCCCAATGAACAGTCAGGTCAAGGAGATGGCTTAGTCCCACTACTCAACAGTCAGTTGTCTCATTTCCTTCTACCCTTATACGGCCTGGCAATTACTCGATTGTATTTACCTACTTTATTGAGCTTCTCAAGACAGCTCCACAGTGGCGCGGAGGATACCAAAAATGAAGTCAGAACTTCAAAAATGTTCTATTGACGAGAAAATTGCTATAATTATTTTGCAACTTTTATTCTGTTGTAAGTAAAGAGAATCCGTATGGAAGACTAGACTTTGAGAAATTTGAATACCACAGAGTTTTGTGTATACGTAATTGAGAAGTTATTGAGTTCAAAAAAACTTAAGAAAATTATGTTCTGGTAAATTGCAAAGTATATAAAGAATAAAATCTAAATAAGAAATTCAATTCAAATAATGAAGTGTGGTGTGAACAACACACTTTGCTTTATTTCGCCAATGCAACTCTTTGAGTTAGTTCATTTTTTGACCACTCTGTTGTTTATCTAAATTTTATTTAGAAATTCAGCACACTTTTGAAAATTATGCAAATTAAAATACCACAAAATTCCAATAAATATATAAATAAATAAATGAAGCTCATCAGCGCCATCATCATAATATTATTGTTATGTAATGTAGTCATTTTAATAGCCCGGAAAGCATAATAATCACAAAATTGTCAGTTGTTTTATTTCATTAAATAAAATTTTTACCGACCGCATTGTGTAAGGTAAGTTACCGCATACAATAAGGTAATTTATGTGATTGTAACAAATTTTGCATTATGGGAAAGCACTTCTCCATATGGTAAGAAAGTGTAAATAAACTTTTTTTAAAAACCTGTCGGCAGACTTTTTAGCGGGCCTGTTTTACATTTTTGACCATTTTAAAGAAAATCTATTATTCAACAGATTTACTTGAAATTTCATATATAAGCTTCCTTGACCCTATGCGAAACCTCCTAATTTTTCGAAGAAATCAGGTGTCAGCAACTGGACGTTTACTACAGGCCAAATATATATTTTTGCGTATATAAAGAGAAATAATCAACCGATTTAATTGAAATTCTAGGTATTAAAATAATGAATATATAAACTTTTTTGGGAAGATCAGGGCTCGGAAACTGATTTGGGGGTCGATTTTAGATTTTTTAACATATCTATTGAACGAATTGATGAAATTTCATGAAATTTAATATTTGAGTTTTAGTTATCACCAGAAGTCACCGACGAACCACCGGATGGCACAAAACGAAACTCTATTATGAGCCAATTTTACATTTTTCTAGGTATATTAACTAAGAACTTAATTATGTGTCCTTAAAATTGTAAAAAAATGTTTAAAACTCATTTTCATAATCTTCTGGAATACTTTTACTAATCTAGACAATATACGTTGCAGTCGGTTATGTGCTGATCACATCAAATTTCTTATATTGAATAAAATCACAATAAAATAAAGAATTATTTTTTAATTTACTTACCAATTTCTTTAACATTAAATTTAATATTAGAAAATCGTAATGTTGATACATTACTATTAATATCTTGTTGGCTATTAAAAATATTTTCAATTTCAATTGCCGAATCATTATTAGAATTCATTTCCATTTCTATCATATTTTATTAATTACTTTATTATTATATTTATATATATTTAACTGTTTTCTTTTTCACAATATCACAATTTAAATAACAAAATTTTTATATTATATTTGTATAAACTGAAATATATATACCGCATTTTTATATCAGAATATATTAGAATAAAATAATGTAAAAAAATAAAGCACATATGTATATAAATAAAATTCATAAATAATTCATAATATATGAAAAACGTGACTATAAAAAATGGAAATTACAATTTGATAAAAAAAATAAACATGATTAATTTATCACTTTCTTTAAATATTTACATACTATCTTATATACTCAATATAGTATATTATCACATTTTAATACAGATATATATACAACATATGTACATGCTCATACATATAGAATAATATTATTATAATAAATTTTTATTGTACATATATAAGTTTAGGTGTTTGTAACACGAGTATTTTTATTTTATTTACAAGTAATTAATTTATTCACATTTAAAATAATGTTCATTTAATTTTAAGGTTATATCGGAAATTAATTTATTTAATTTATCTTATATAAGTATGTAAATTTTATATTATTCTAAATAAACTAAATAATAAATTTAAAACAAATAAAAAAGAATAGAAAAAACGCAATTAAATTTTAAAAAACAAAAATTTTTCTTTTGTTTTGTTTCTACAAGTCTACTACTAACTGAATACTACCCAAACTTACTATATTTTGTTACCGCTTAACGCTCTCTTCTACACAAATAAGCAAGAAAAAACAAAACAAAAACAATAAATAAATCCCACTCTTTTTTTTATTTTGAAAATCTTTTATAGAGTAAAGAAGCTTTTAAAATGACTTTTCTTTTGTTTTTTTCCATCTATTTTCTCTTTTCTTTTGGAAAAACTTTTGAAACTAATATCAAAAATTTTATTTATATTATTTTTTTATATTTTATTTTTGTCGCAATAATTTTTCTTTTACATCAAATTTAACAAGATCTTGAAAGGAATGGTGACTGTAAATTTTTCCACTCTTTGATCTATGGTGTGTATTCAAGGTAAACAATACTTTTGACAATCGAATTTAAAATCAACTTTCAATCTTACTTATTCAACTGTACCAAAAAAATTATTTACAAAAATAAAAAAAAAATCGGTTTTAACATTTCGTGTAATCAATGCCAAAATAATGCTAATTGGCAACAATTGCATCTGACGCTGACCAACCAACGACAATTAAGTATTAACAATTTGTGCTACTGTTTTGAATATCAACTTTCATATACAACTTTTTTGCAAACAACCGGTTGACAACGGCTTTTGCAACAAATTATTTTTGACAACTTAAATTTGACATTTTACTTAAATAATATTACATGAAATAAAATTAAAATTTCTACTTTGTACAAAAAAACAAAATCAACAATTGAAATTTATTTATTAAAAAAAAAGGCCAAAAAAAAAAATTTAACAATATGACAGGAAATTCGACATTGTTAATTACATGACTTTCGTTTTAATTCCTTAGCCCTATATGGCCTGGCAATCAACATATCGGTTACAATACAAATTTTGACATTTATTGACATAATTAAAAGTTACAATGGTTTAGTTAATTGCAATATTGTTAAAAATGCAAAAGAATTCAATGCAAATTTTACAATATTAATTACACCTGCAACATTGTCTTCCCTTTAAATAAAATAAATTTTGTAATTTATACAAAATTAGTGTGGCGCTAACCATAAGTTCAATCCCTTACTTTCAAAAAGTTTTTTTTTCCTTTTTGGACAAAAAATACCGGTCCATTGTAATGGGAATTATCAAAATAGTGGAAATGAAAACAAAAAAATTATAAAAATTTACATTTGTGTGTGTGCGTTATGTCAAAATAATTAAAGAAGTTAATTGTCAAACTAATATGTCTTTAACTACGTATATACATGCATACATACACATATGAAAATAATTGCCTACCTAATCAAAAAATGTATAGAACTGGTTTATAAAATTTGAAAATATTTTAGTATCATAAACTAAAGCGTTTCTGTAAAATTATTAAAGCAAAAATTTATAGCTGAAGCAAAATTTAATTAGACAAAAATTTATTTAATTTTCCAATTTAAGAAGAATATTATGATTATACATACATACTTACATACATACGAGTACATGCATACATATCTGGTTTTTAAGAATTCGTTTTGAACGTACAATATACACGGAAATTTTATTTTATGTTAGTAATACCTTCCATTTCTTAAATTTAACCCCAAAATATTCACAATAATAATGTAAAGTTTTATATAAAGTGTGAGAGCAAAAACAACTTGTCAGTACTTAAAATTGTACTCAAATCATTGGGCAGCTACGTCATTCGAGAAATTTACTTTTAAATAAATGATATTTAGTAAAGAGCTTTAAATTGAAAAGTATGAGTAAGCGGACGACTACAGTTAGAAAATTTCAATTGATTGAAAATAAAAGAAAAAAAGAAAATCATATGTTTTCATTTTATTTTTTTTTTATTTGTGAAAGTTCAATTGAGGTTAATTGGATGAAAACTTTATAATAAAACATTTTGTTATGATAACTTAGATGATAAAAAAAAAAAAATTTCATTATGAATTTAATTTTTTCACTCTCACTGTTTTCTTCTGAATTTCTCTCTATCTCTCTGAATAGTACTCAGGAAAGAGATGCATTCTCATTTCTCAATACAGGATACTTTGATAATATTTCACTTTTAAATTATATTTCCGCACATAATACTGTGAAGTACGGAATACAGATCATAATGATTTGAAATGAAAAATATAATTGTAAAGACAAATAAAACACACGTTTATTGAGAATTGAGAATTACATTCAAAATGTCTTGATATATTGAAACAGTAAAAAAAAATTTGTAATAAAATGCTCTTAACATACAAGTTTAATCATTGCTACAGTTTAGATTAGACAGTATTGCTATTGCCAATATCGTGTTCAAATTAACAATAATTGACCTCCTTTCAACTACACTTTAATAGTTTTTAAATTATGCAAAATTAAATAGAAAAACTAGTTTTATGCATACCTATATACTTAGGTGTATACAACTTTTATTTTGTAATAGTTGCAGTAATAATAAATTTGAAAATATTTTCGTCTATTTTTCGTATATTATTTTCATGAAACTAGTACCCAGTAACAAATATCAATGGTGAAACGTAAAAATATACTAAATAACAAATTTTTCAAAATACTAATTTTGAATGGTCCACTTTTTGTAGTATGTATTTGAGTGCCGTATACGTGTGATTTCAGTTTGAGATATCAGTGTGATTGAAATAGTGGTTAAGTGAAAGGTCGATAAAGTCAAAAAAGGCTAACTGCTTTCTTAGAATGTTTATATTACAAAAACTTTTATACCACTACAAAAGTTTATAAATTCGTCAAATACAAACATGTTAAATGTACTTATGCTATAAGTACATGACCTTTTATGCAAAATCTCAAATTTAATTAAAATAAAATATTTGAAGTCACGAACTAATTATTATAACAAATTATGTATATAGCGTTAATCTTATTAACTAACTTCTTTTCAAAAGTTATTATATTATACATAATTATTATAAATGTACAAAAATTCGAAAAAATAACAAAATTCATAAAAACTTAAGTATTCTATTAAAATAATAGAACACTTAAGTTTTTATTAATTACTTCTAATATCCAAAGAAAATGAGTTGAATATATCATCATAATGTTACAATTCCAAAATATTGATAATATTCATAAGACAATATCATAGGGCAACACAAGCTTTAAATAACTAAAAACCAAAATATATTCAATAGAATCATGATCAAAAAACAAATAACCAATTCTTAATAAAGTAATAAAAGATGGTATCCTCCTTTCACGTCTACCATCAAATGGTATGAACTGTTAAACAAACGTAGAGCCTTTAATAAACAAAAATGAGGAAAGGGGAACTTGTGTAAATTCTAGATGCCAATATAAAGTGACTAGTAAGTGTATGACGTAAGTTGAAGTTTACAAGTTCTAGGGGGAATAGTATACCAGAATCTCTAAAAAAACCTTATCAAAACCCTATATTAGTACAAATGACGCAACGGAAGCATAGTTCCAGTTGTGTAAATAAATGGAATCTATAGGCATACAACTATTTGTCTTGTACAATATTTCAATTGTGTATTAAAATTGCAAATGTAATAATTTTCCGAATGATTTAATAGAGTTATTAAAAGTTGTTATATTATAACAGTAATTAATATTAAATAATAAATGCAATTTTTTTACTAATATTAATAAATGCAATCATAAATAAACGTGTGCAAATATTATTTTATATAAATATATACAGTTTTTGTTAATATTGTTATACTATATAACAAAATATAATCCCGACATATTCTACACAAGCCGAAATTAAAAAATTCTATAATTTTATTAATTTATGCATTTAATTAAAATTATTTTATTTTATTTTTCTCTTTTTTTTTTGTATATAAAATGACCTTAACATTTGAACTTTTAATATACATCAGATTTTGTCTTCAATGCTTTTAATCACTTGATTAATTCATATATTTTATCCTATATATGTATAAATGTATAGATGTACTAGAAAGTACATATTTTGTTTTCTATAAAGTAGAAAGAGTATTAAAAAAATTCAAGTATCTTAATGACATTGAAATCTTATAAAATAAAATTCAATTTTTTTAATTTAAACTCCAATTTTCTAAAATAATTTACAACACGATAAAAAGAGAATGTCCTTGATTTATTGTAAGTACAACAAAATTGTCAAAAAAATTTTAATGCTACGCAATTAAAAATAAGTTTTATATAATTGGGAAAATACTCGGATAATTTGGATAAAAGGTTGATAATTTAGTATACCCACAAATTAAATGTATAACTATATACTAACAAGTCGTACATATTTATCTAATAATTGCACGGCATACGTGATTATAAAATAAATTCTGGTTATATTTTGGTAATCTCGCAAAATTCTCAAATAATTGAAGAATTTACAAAGTTTTATTTCAACCGGATGTTGACTCTAAAATACTAACAATAATTGTTTTTAACAC